ACAATAACAGTGTGGAACTCTGGGTATTATTCTAGCAGCCGTGCGCTACTTTATCTGCCCTCCACAATACTTCCTCCCTCACTGACTCACACATCCTGCCTGAGAGGGGGCGAGAGAGGCAGGGAAAGAATGAGATGGGAGAGAGAGAGGCAAGGAGAGGGAGAGGGAGGGAAGTAAGGAGAGAAATGCAGAATACAGGAGGGAGTAATAGTCATGTTTTGTCTTCCAGCAAGAGGAGCAAGGGAGGAAGTAAAGAGGAAAAGGAGGGAGAGGGGAGATGAGGCTTGTCGGTTGGTTTTTCCCTCCTGGTCAGAACCTGCCACCTACTTTACCTCCTCAGATGGACAACAAGCTCTCTGGCTTGAACTCCACTTTCAAGTCACACATCGACTCTTATCAGACCTCAGCTGGCTTGAGGACGAATTTCTTTCCAAATTGTGACCATAAAAGCAAGAGAGTGTTGTGTATGGGACTTAAAGCAGCAGAGTGTCTTTGAACTTGAACTGTGGCTGTCAGGGAAGCTGTGAAGAGACCCGATCAGTTTGACAGTGGACGCTTCAGCTTGGGGAGTCTGGTAAGTTTGACAGCCTTTGTGCAACATTATTTTCAAACTTACGAGGAATAATCTGGACATTTGCATCCTCTGGCTCATTTTAAAATCACAGCTTCTTGTCGCTGTGAATCTTTAAAGAAACTGAATCCGTCCTGTCTCCAAAGCAAAGTGTCTTCAGTCAGTTTCAGTCCTTACTTGTTTGTCCAGCCGCCTTTCTGGCATTCGGTCTGTACTGTATTGAGACAGTGTGTGTGACTGAGATTATGCGCTGTGACCTTTGTGGTATCAGTCAGCTGTTGCCGTTGCTGACCATTAAGTGGGACATTCCAGCAGATCCTCTAATAGAGGCTCATTCAGAGTTGAGAATTTATAATTTCTCGGCCTTTGACTGCTGTCGCCAGCTTGTGTCTTCTTCTCGTCTCCTTGCCACTTCTCTCATTCCATCCAGCTCTTCTATTTAAGATCCTAAAAACCTGCATAACTCCCAGAGAATACATGTTGAAGTAGAAGCTCGCTACGTAGAGCCAACATGATTGAATTTCCCAATTGGTTGCGGTCAAAACGGAACAATTATCATCTCTTATCTCATTAACTTTGACTCCACGTCAAGGACAAGCTGCTGTTCAGGGTGTGCCAGGGAATTATTTGAAAAATGTGCTTCATGTGATTCCTCTTTGCTTGTTGTTGCCAGTTGGGGGACAGGTAGCCAATTGGGTTACAGTGTCAGGAACAGGAAAGTGGGAGTTCTGTGGATTTATTATTAAGCCTGTTTCGTTGATCCAGATCTTTCAGTCACCGTGGTTAAAAGGACAGTAAGAGCCGGGTCCTTTGTGTGTTTCCTGTTTTTCATAAATAAAAGAGTCCCTGTGGATGTTACTATAATAATGTTACTATAATGTAGTACAGATCTTCAACAGTTTTGAGTAAAATAGGTTAAAGTTTTTGCCTCTTTTTTGCCAAAAAGTCCAAATAACAAAAAATTAAACAGTTTTAAGCAGGGAAACAGGTTCTTTCACTGGGACTTTTTGTTCACTTCCTGGGTAGCTGTTTTTCTTATGGTGAGTTTCTTGCTGTAGCATGTATATACAGTATATATATACCCTTAGATTTTCCCTGCTGTTTTTTTTTTGTGCATTCCCTTACATCCATTCCAATAGTTCAGAAACTAACCCTCCAGGAAATAGAGCAAGATTACCCATAATTCTGTGAAGCTGCAAGAAAGCATCTGAGAATGAACAGGGGAACTCAATGGATATGCAACTGGCCAATCATGGTCATTGTTGGCTGCATTGATGCGACATGTAGATTTCTATGGAGGTCCATGTCAGATTAGGATGTAGGGCTTCCTAAGAGTTTTCAGTTATAAGAGACCTACGGTGTACATTTAACACTAATGTTTTAGTCCTTTGTGAGTTGTTTCATTTTTTCGTAACTGACATAAACACAGCTTTTAATTTAAACCCTATGTTTTAATAATTGGTTTAGGAAACTTGAACTAAACACAGTCTTCTTCATTTTAAATAATCTTTGACCAAAAATTTTCGTAACAGCTTTGACCCTTTTCTACCACTGTAACATTATCAGAAGAAGTACTTGTTATTGCCCTGTGATCGGGATTAGAGGGTAAAGGAGGCTGTGCTTTAACCTCCTAAGACCCGAACTCTTCCACGGCATGCATTTTTAATTTCTCTGTGATATTTGAACATATTGGAACCTGATGAATGTAAAAACAAAGAATTTGCAGATTTTTTTTTTAACCTGATTTTTGTTTCTAAGAAAAATAAGAGCCACATATGAGGATATTCATTTAAAATTTCGATAGAACAGTAGCGGTATAATGTGCTCGTAAGTGGATATCAGGCCGTTGTAGTCAAAATTGAGTATTTTGGTCTAAATAACCCAAAATGTGATGTTCACATGTGTGGACGCCAGGAGGTTAATGGCGGCTTTTCCAAAGCTGTAGAATAGCCTCACGGTCAGTTTCTATGCTGCATGGAGACTTACAGAAATTATTCAAACATATGTTTTCTGTGGTTTTTTTGTTTGTTTATTATTTTATTAGCTGAGATTTATTTTTTTAATAATACTTTATTAGTCATTCATCCAAGTTTTCGTACTGTGAAACTTTCTGTTTTGGTTTTGTTTTAAGCTGTACAGCACTTTAGTCAAGTTTGTAAGAACACTTATGTATTCCTATGTTGGAGGTGCAGCTCTTCATGCTGTAAATCCCCTAATTTGATCACTGCTGCCCTCTTGGCTGCTGCTCTCAGCCTTTTGGAAACGCACTGATTGGCTTTGTGGTTTTGGAGAGCTTTTCCCTTGTCCCCTGCATTGCTGCACAACAGCAGATCAGCGCTCTGTTTTCTTTTAAGCTACGAGTCGGCACATTTTTCCTTTCTTTTTTACCCTTTGTCGTGCACACCATCTCCATCTGACTTTGGCATTACTACATTTGATTTTTCACAGTAATCAATCTCTGGAAAGCTAAACTTGGAGAAACTGAGGAGGTGGCAGTGAGAAATGGGGGGGGGGGGGTCTGTCAATGTTTGTATTTTGTTCAATAATGGTATTTTGTCTGGTCAAGTTTAGATAGTTCCCACACATAGTGCAGCATACACGTAGGAGCGTAGACGCACATACGCAGGCTCTGCATAAACTTTCTCAGGGGATAATTTAAGGACATTGTCAGCAGAGTTGAACAATCAGCGGGTTCAGATAGAAATCCCTCTTAAGGAGCCAGAATCAGGAAACTGGAGTGTTTATTTTGGAAATGGGTCTCCTGCCCCTGCTTTATCATAAACAATAATATGCAAAAATGGTCCTTTCCTTTCCCTCTTGGTGCCAGGATCTGCATTCTTCTCCCAAAACTGTACTTCCCTATGTTTTTCCAAAATAGTCTAATTTTACATTTTTTGTACTTTGTGCTTGATGACCTTAATAGTCCTCTCATTGGAGTGTTGTTGGGAATTAAACTTTGGCCCTTTTTTGTCATAATTATCCACCATGTCATCCAGTTGGTATTTCGGGTGTTTTCAAACTCACTTTTAAACCTTTTGGGACAAGTCAAGCTCTCGGGTCAAAGGATTAAATGCCAGTCAAGGTTGAAGTGTATTTGAAATTGGAGCGAGCCAGTTTTGTGAAATTTTAGGTTAATTGAGTTGTTATTTGACTGATGATGGCATTTTTCAATGAGTAGGTAAAAGAAAATGTCAAGTCAAACAAGCCGAGTCAAAGTCAGTGGCAAAAAGTCAAAATGAAGTAAAATACAATAAAGAAAATCATTTCAAATTGAATTTTATGAGATTTTCTTTGATTTAAATATCCAAAAGCGTCCTTTTGGTTCCAAAAACTCTTCCTTTTTACTAAAGCTTATTAATTGTTATACTCTACATCTAAGATTTTTGCACCAGATACTTGAACCTTTTGTCTTTTTTAAAGTAAGTTTCTCACTGGGTGAAGTCTCTCAGCAAATTCCCAGCTTTTCTGACTTCAGTTTGATTCAAGCTCACACCTCTTAGTTCCTGTTCTCTATAGAGGAACTAGGAGTATGTTATTTCCATCCAGCAACAGTATTTCCAAGTCAGTGTTATTCTTAAAGATATGATTACCACCATAAAGGTCCATTCAAACTTGAGGAATGTAACATTTATAACTGCCTAGTCTTCTCACTCTTTTCTTCTGCTCAATCAGCCCATCTTGCAGTCTGTCTGCAGGGGGGCTGAGCTGAATCTGGCGAGCATATGTGATCGGAAGTCTGAACAAGGGACTTGGGATACACTGGAATGCCTGGCTTTAGATCAGACCGGAGGGCTTACTGTACACGTTAGATGAGTTTTTAATGGACATAGCGCTGAAGTCCAAACAGCTTGCGAGGAAGCCGTTTCCACAGGATTTAGGTTGGCACGGCGCTGCCGCTGTAGGCATACATTTTATGTGAGCTCTTACGATCCAAGACACTTAGGCTTGTGGTTGCAAACAAGCATGTCATCTTATACATTTTGCCTATATTAATCATATTCAGACATCCTGCTTAGAAGTGGTGGGTAAAAAGATCCCATAGACATGAAGTAGGTAGGAAAAAGGAAAACCGGCCCTATTAAAAACAAGGAAATCACATTAGTTGCCAGGGGAAAAGCATGTTTCACATTTATACAGACACACTGGAAGCATCCGGGCGGGAAATACAACACCACAGCCGCTTCTTTATGTTTGACCAAAATCTCAGGAGTCCCCTAAATTCAACTGGCCTGCAAGTGGTGCTAAAGGATGTTTCTGGATGTGTTTTAGTAGAAGAACGCAGTGTTCCTGTAATACAGGGACACTGCAGTAGGTACCATTGAACTGCTGGTAAATTGGCTATCGGGGCCGTTACTTTCCTCTCTGATCAGCTGATTGATTGATTAAACACTTGATTCTCACCTGTGTGTTTTTGTTTTTGTCTCCACAGACGTAGTGTCCCTTTCATCAGGCCTCACTCCTGGCACCTGGCAAAGCTGTCGGAGCTGCCCTTCCCTCCCCCTCCCCCTCCCCCCCCGTCCCCTCCTCCAGCACCACCCTGCCTCCCCACTGCCGACTCCCCACCTCTCCCCCCTCCTCCACCCCCTCCACCTGCCATGCAGCTCCACCCCGGCCCTTACACACTACCCTGGCACACGACTGACAGCAGGTGAGCTAACGTGTGAACAAAGTTTTTATGTGTCTCGTAAGTAGGTGGTGCTGTTTATTTGCATTTTCCTGAGAGGTGGGTCCCTAATTTTTTCTGACAATTTTTCTAACCTTTAGGTTTCATTCAATAAAAGCCACCATAGAAAGGTGGGTTTTACTCAATGAAATCTTCCGAGCTCATGTAAAGTTCTGTTTGTGCTCTACAGGGGATTTTCTATGTTTGAATGCAGTTACATGATTATATCACTACAGGGAATTGCTTTCATAATTAAATTAATTATCGTAATGAATATATTAAATGTTGAAGCTTGCAGTTATGTAAAGCAGTAAAAGCCTTACTATTTTCAGTGATGTCTCACATATGTAGAATGTGAAAGTAGCAGGAGCTTTGTTTGTTTGCTTGAAAGATGATTTGAGCAATAAATCACTTGGTTTAATCAATATTTACATACTTTCGAAGTGTACTATATCGCTTAAGGTCGAGGTAGACATTCATCATACTGACTGATATTGTTGATAGTGACATTTGGCACTGGACTACATAAGTCTTTATAGCATGAAGCCTGTGAGCGTGATGTTTATGGGCCTCAGGGTTTCCAGTGGTGCACAAACCCGGTGGTCTGCTGGGTCCGAGCTGAGCCCCGTGAGGGAGTCAAGATGTTTTTTCAGATATAAGATACAACACAAGAGCGATTGTGTTCTAGCTCCATATTTTTAACATTGGATTCGGGTTTGGAATAGATCCTATAGTGAGCCTTAGTGCAGAGCCTCAGTTCATCATCTAGCTGAAATAAGCTGTTTTAGCACCTTTGTCTTGAAACTAACTTTCTTCTGATTGGCTCAAAGAAAGGGTTGAAAGCAAGTGGGAGGGGCTTTTGTATTTTAGATTAGATTAGATAGATTAGATAAAACTGTATTAATCCCTTGGGTGGATTCCTCCGGGAAATTCAGTTTCCTGAGCAGACAGACGTTGCATGTTACAGAGTTGGAATACCAAATAAAGGGTATTGCTCCATATTTTTTGACATCATATGGAGCCAAGAATAGAAAAACAAACTGTGCAGTGGCACAACATGCAACGCACACAAAAAATGGCAGGTGTAAAATGGGCCTAAGCGACTGAAGAGGTCGGAGATATTCACCTTGTTTCCCTAATGACTATTAATGATAATAGACCTTTTACCGATAAGGTTTATGCAAGATGTTTTGACGTAGTCTTGACGCAGTGTGTTTCAGATGATCTCCATGTAAAGCTGTTGTTTATATGGTGCGCTCAGTGATATCTCTGATTTTAAGGTTCTTTTGGGATTTGTTTTTCTCCTGGCTTTAATTTGTCGCTTCCTCACTGAGGGGAAGAGTAATTACAAGCTGGGGAATATAAGATGAGCATCTTCATCTGAATTACAGCAAATCAGGTTTTGCTGCTCCACCAAAAACATCATACTTTATATTAGTCATACAGTATGATCCCATTATTTGCAAGTCCCCACCTGGGATTTAAAAAAAAAAAAAATTGGTCCCTGTGACTCTGACTGTGCCCCTAAAGCCAACAATTGCCAGGAAGCAGGTGACATCACTGTTTTAATGTCAACATGGCCCACACAGGAAGCAGGTCTATTTTTGGCTTCTATTTAAACATTCCAAAGCAATAACCAATCAGATCTCTCTGGTGACCAGCTCTTTGTTCGTCTGCTCGTGGGGGACAAGATGTTTTCTGCTGCGGTGGCAAATCCATTCAGAGCCCTCGGGGTTTTTAAAAGTGAAAGGGATGCAACAACAAATTCAGATGGATTTTGTTTTGTTATTTGGCCTTCTGCAGTTAATAGTTGCAGTTTAAATCAAGAAGTTTTAAGAAAGATGTAGAATAACACTAAAATGGGGTGGAGTGGAAATTGGTTTAAGTAATTCACCTTTCCAGTTGAGATGTTGATGAAAAGCAGAGTTTTTAAAAAGTGGTGGTGTACACTTGAGTTTTGGACACCAAACATTTGAATGCTTCATGAAAGAGTCACACTTTTTCCAGTGTGGTCTTTTTCACAGCGACTAATCCAAATCACACAGCAACGCATTAATGGCTAACCTTGTTTTGCTGATGGGTTTATCTCAGACGCCCTCTCGGCGGAAGTTTGGTGTGTTTTCAGTATCATATCTTCCTGCCATGTGGTGTAATTAATCTGTACCAATTACAGATCTTCAGACAGCAATTGCTCATTGAGCCATGAGATAGTAGATAATTATGTCATTAAGCCCAGCTTTGCTAAACCTCTAAATTGTGGAAGTATTCAGGTTTCTTTTTTTTACTACTAAGTCATAAAAGTCCTGTATGACTCCATTCAAAATTACTTCTAAATTAAATCCCACTTTTCATGGATTTGATGTTGAACTTATCTGGCTAAATTAAAACATGAGAAACATGGTGCTGAATGACCTTAAACTCACTGAATTCAATATCTACAGCATCATTTTAAAACAGCCAGCCCCAAAAACATCCACAGATTCCCTTTTTCTTTTAAAAGAATCACAGTTTGCTGTCATTTTAGGTTAGCATAAAACATGTCTTAATATGGACTCCAGGATGACAATTTTGCAATCATTAAAACTGAATATTTGAAGTCAGAATAAATGCCATCGTCTATAAAAGAATATAGATAATAATGATTTTTTAAAATAGTGATTCTTTTAAGGAATGTCAGTACATTAAAAGACTTTTGGATGTTTCAAACTGGTTTAACTCTAAAATAAAACAAAAGACTAGGAAATTATTTACTATACCTGGCCACCCATTGGCCACCCATTGGCCACCCGATGTTAAAACATGCAGCACAGACAGCTTTTTATCCATCATTTGGGATCTTGCAATGTTCAAACTCATGACAGAAAAGATTTGTTTGTGCACATAATTGGAATAATAAGTTAAACAGCAGTCCAGACTCATTAGTCATTCCCCTCCAAATTCATTAACATGAAGCTGCCTTTTGTTGAGTTTCTGGCCCTCTGACAGTGTTTTGCCCATGTGCCCATATAAAATATCAGGTGGGAGACCATCTACATAAACTATATTCTTTGTAGTTTTGCAGACACGTGACAAGTCAATGTGATGTTTTCTGACATATAGATATCATGGTGCTCATGCTGACAATGTGGGATTAAGTGACTAAGGTCCCACTTACACAGGCCTAGAGACTAATCCATGACCATCAGGCAACCAAGAGAGAAAAACTAGTGTTCCCTGATCGGCTGTGAGTGGTTTCCAGAGGTTGATTGCAGTCGATGGGATTGCTCAAGTCCCAGCCACACAGATTTTCAGACCAGTCAGTGACCCCCTGGCAACCACCTGTCACTAGGGAAAAACATGTGTCACCCAACTGGTTGGCAGACCTTCTTGTGACTATTTGATTGCTAACATATTGCTGTGATCATAGTTTGAATTTTCACCCAGCGAGAGCCAGAAACCCCCAGGAACCACTGCCATCCAGTTGGGGACTACACATTTTTCCCCATCAACTGCTGGGTGCAGCACATCCAATATGGTGGCCAGCTGTCAAGCAGCATGTGTAAATGACTAATTACTTAGTGAAAGTGCTACTTTTTATTGAAAATTTCCCAAATCAATGAGTATTACTTCCGCTCTGAGTCTAGCTATGAGATTTTTTTTCTGCTACTGTAATACATCAGTGACAAATAATTGAATCGGATAGTCAGGTTGAATAAAACTCTTTGTATTAGAGTATGATCTCACCAAGCTACTCACAGTAAAAATAGCCTTTATGTCTTTGTCAGTTGTTCTCCTTTTGATAGCAATCAGTGATCTAACGTACCACTGTTTTAATAGTCCCACATGATGTGTGCGTGTGTGTGTGTTAGTGTGCGTGGGGGGTTCTTATTCCCACAGTTCTCCCGCCTGATCTCATCAGTCGGATGAGGAGGCAGCTCCCGGCATAACTCTGGACAATGTCGTGTGACTCCCAGAAAATGTGGACAAAGAGAGGAAGACGTTCAATAAACTGTGTTTGTGTGAAGGAGAGTACATTTTGTACAGTGTGTGTGTGTGTGTGTGTGTGTGTGTGTGTGTGTGTGTGTGTGTTTTATTTTTGCTCTAACCATGTGTAAGCAATAAGTAAAGTAGGGATAAAATATCTCCAGCTTTCACAGGAGTGTGTATGCCTTTTGTAACTCTCACATCGTGCGTTTGTGTATTTGTGTGCTGGTGCGTCTTCGTCAAACCTCACACTCACATGTTCCACATTGCGTCTGATTGGGCAGGAGTGACTGTCATTTCCTCTCCAGCTCCCGTCTCATTTCCTCTCTTCCTCTCTCTGTCACCCAGGTCAAACTTATACAGAAGCCTCTCCTCTCCCATCCATTGCTCACTTCCCTCAAAGACTGTTTTCTCATGCAGATAATGAAGCGTACTTTCCACCCTGCCAGTCAGAGTATTGTATCTCACTGTTTTACACCCGTGATCTTATTGAGCGATTTATGTACTTATATTGCACCACTCCCAGGGCTCCCATTTATCTCATTCTAGTACTGAACGCTTGAGACTGACGAACATGCCTGAACATGTCTGGATGGACACTAGAGAAACTGCAATGTTGGCATTTCCATGTTTGCTTTATTTTGCAGAGCTGTTGTTTGCTGCTTCAGCTTAATGGTGGTTTCATAGCATTTTCACATAACACATGAAAGATCTTTGGTTTGAACCTGGGAGCTGGCACAGATCCCTGCATCAGAAATGGCTTCTGGTGTAAAAGTCTATCAAACCAAATATTCAGTTCAATTGAATTTTATTTATATGGCACAGTAGCACAGTTCCCTCAAGGCATTGTTTGGATCCGCATATCCAGATATGCAGCTCTAAACAACTTCTGTTATACAGCATATTAATGAGTTAAAGGTCACTAATTTTATTATTGACTTTAAAGTCTTGACTTTATTACCCCATGATCATTATATAAAGGACATAAATTCCTCTTCATGTTCCAAAAGCCAGTGAAGTTTTAAGAGTTGGCTCATATAATTCTTACATTATCCAGCCATACTGGAAAACGGTAGCTGTCAAACACAGAAACATTGCTTGTCTAATGTGAGAGACACCATGTACATAGAGCCTACTGGTAAGAGCATGGAAAGGAAAATGACCTATACGCGTACTACAAATCATCAAAACATTGGAATGCATGAGCATAAAACTTGTATTTAGCGTAAAAGAGTAAGTTGAGGTTGAATAGTTTACAACTGACGTTTCTGAAGCAAAGAATTGTAAACCATAAATACCACAAGCAGCAGCCTGGAGATAGTCTGCTGGTTGTCTTGCCCATGTTGGTTTGAGATCAAAGTCCTTCAGAAATTTCTGTCTCCTGTAACCCCTCCTCTGTCTCCTTGACAACTTTCCCCATTGTTTGAATAAGACACCAAAGAAATAACAAAAGGGTGAGTGACCACTCTCTCCTCTTTACAGGAAAAAGAAATACCACAATAAAAATGCCTGCAGGTTTTTATTGGAGCCTTTATGGCACTGGATTTGAACCAAGCGCATGAACACTGGGTGCCCTCAAAGCCCGCTTGATAAGACAATATGTACGAAGTGTATTTTTCTATCTTTGCTGCCTAACCTCTCCTTTTGCTCCCTGTTATTCTGTCTCGTGTGGTTTTCTCCACGAAGTTGAGATGGTTGGGAATTCTTTTGTTCTTTTTTCCTCTGTGTCATTTGGGGGAAACGGGGTCATTTTTTGGCCTAATAAACAGTCGAAACTACAAGGGGGGCCAAAGAGCTCGAGAGGATGATGTGTAACATGGGTCACAGGTCAAATTCAAACCCAACATTGCGGTTGAGTGGCGGGTAGTTGAGTCCATTGAGCAACATTTGATATACAGTACATATGACATTTATTGCATGTCTGTCTGCCCTAGAAGGGATACCTCATCTGTTTCTCATCTGCCTTTTTTTCTCTCTTGATTCAGCTGGGGGAGTATTTTTTTTCTTATCTAAATCAAATGTGCTAGGATAGATTATATTGTACAGACGCTTCTCTTTTTTGGCTATATATATAGTTATTAGAAAGTAAAATGTTTTTTAAAAGCTATATATATATATGTGTGTGTGTGTGTGTGGGGGGGGGGGGGGGGTAAATATTGTGCATTTGATGTAAAGAAGTTGGGACAGGGTAGGACAAAAATTGGAAGAAAGGAATGAAGGAGGAAGATGAAAAAGGATAAGAGGAATCAAGGAATGACTTAGACATTTTGACTGTAGGCAGCGTGAGTTGATGAGGAGGAAATCCCTCTCTGCCTAAAGAGGCTTCCTCCGAGGGGCTTTAAAACGCATGGGGCTGCCGTGGATCTTCAGCTCACCACTGATAGAAAACAGATCCACCAGCTGTTCAGTGGAAATGTTGTATGGATGGGATGTGAAGGGCGGGGTAATCGAAACTTGCAGTATGAAAATTAAAGATGACTTAGTATATGTAGCTTTTAAAGGCATTAACTGTCTTGTCAGTCAAGAAGTAACATCATAGTGTTCTGGAAACCACATGAAATTGCTTAGAGAACATTAAAATTTACTTTGATTTTGATACTGTATTGACCTTCCTCCGCCTTTCCCTGCAGTTGTTACAGTCCAGCTCCCCAGCAAAAACCTTTAAACTACTTTAAATGAAGCTGGTAGGGTCAACCCATCCAGGGTTAGAGTAAATGAGGTCATTTTTGTGTGTTGGAAAACCCAAAGGGTAAAGTTTTTAATCTAGTAAAAATTCCTAAAACAGGAGTGAATGTTAATCCCAACCTAATCTTTAGATGAGTCGCCAATTACGTGTTGGATGTGAATTGTTCGATAATTAATAATGGCAAGTAGCTTAACCCTAAATCCATAATGCTGTTTAACTATGCTAATCAAAGAATAGTTGAACAGTTCCCCAAAACTCAATAATACCAATAAAACTACCTCTGAAGTCTTTAGTGGTAATGACCCCAAGCCCTAGATTTAACCCCACCCCTAACCCTATAACCCCACCCACACGTACATCGATATTTTGGCGCACGTGTTTTGTGTACATTTCTGCAGGCACTGCGGAAGAGGTGGCATGTATCTAATCAGCAGCAATGGCAACATCTGGGCCCATTGCATACACCACTGATCATATTGACTACACACGCAGGGTTAATTTTGCTTTTAAAACTAAAACAAAGCTGCAGTTTAATTGGCCATTGAGTGCGTTTCTCTTTTTGTCTTTATCAGACTGTGTGCAGTGTTACTGCTTTATGGTTAGGGTTATATTTTTACTTGTTATTTTGCCATAATCTTGACAGCACCTTAAACTGGTGAATAGAGATATTTTTCAAAATGAACACAGAAAAGTCCTTGTTTTAAAAAAAAAAAAAAACCTTCTGGAAAAAATCTGGATAGTTTTTGATGTGTTGTCCAAAGATCAAGTTGGCGTTTGTTTGCTTATTTAGTCTGCAAAATAACCCAAAGCACCACCCTTGTCTGTTTTTGAAATATTTCGTTTGACCTTCTGCATCTCCATCTCTCTGCAGTGATTTGTCCATACAGTGGAGTCAGCTGTCCAGACCTTACTCCTCCACTGACCGAAGCAGCTCCCTGGGCTCCATGGAGAGCTTGGACACACCTACACCCACCACGCAGCCATACTCCGACTCTCATAATTCACCAGTCGATCCCACCCTCTTCAACAATAAGAGAGACTCTGCCTACAGCTCCTTCTCCGCCAGCTCAAACACATCTGACTACGCGACAGTCCCTCTCAGACCCGGTGAAGCCAACTCAATGGATAACCTCTTGTCTTGTCAAGGCTACCCTGTTAGAGACACCTCAACCCTTTGCGAGTCACCTAGTGAGGGCAAAGATGAGGCACCGCTGATCACACAAAAGTCCAGATCACTGACTAGGCCGAGACCAAGGCCCATCGAGGTAAAAGAGAGACCCTCGTCCTGCTGCTATGAGCAGGAACGGAGGGGTGGAGGCTTTGAGATTCTAAGAAATGGAGAAACAGGAATGGAAAGAAAAAGGAACCCTCCTCAGCCTCCAACCAGAAAAGATAGTTTTAGGGCAACCCGGAGTCATCCCAATTCCACCAACCCACGTTGTGCTTCTGCTCCTATTGAAAGTTCTGGTGTTTCTTCTTATTATGAAGAAAATAAGCTCTCACTTAATCTTGAATCAGGAATGCATAATGGCTTCCCTGCACCAGGAGGAGGTCAAAGTGGGAATTTCGAGAAGGATACTTTGGATACGCACTGTATCCAGACGGAAAATATTAGATTTATAAAATGTGACACTAGTGCTCATAAAGACTACAACTCAGAGAGCACCTCAGAAAACCTCTCTGAACCACTGACAACTTCCTTAAATCCCAACCTCCCCTCTGATTCTGACACCTTGCCTGCAGAAGCCTCCACCGAGGTTCAAGAGCAGTCCTGCATCTCCCACACTCAGACCAAGCACTGCTCTACTGTGCTACACAGGCACAGCGCTCCCGAGAAGCTCCTTGCTACACAACTTCAATTGCTGCAGTTTAACAGTGACAGCCCTTCTGTGGAACCATGCAGTCTATCAAACCCTTCTGAGCCCTCTTTGTCTCCCTGCAGCAGCCAGTGGTCCCCTTCATCACTTCAGCCAATGAGTGAACACCAAGAAGCTTCTCAAAACCACCTTCATGCCACGTCAAACAAATGGGGAGGTAGCCGATGCTCAACCCCAGGATCTGTGTTCTTCGAAGGAGATGGTGATGACAAAGATTCAAGAGAGAGGCTGAATGTGAATGGCGGTTCTCTCACACCGGATCAGCATCACGTGCCATGGGGTCACTCTGTGAGCGTGCCAGGGGAGAGCACAGGATCATCAGCACAGGAAAGACTGAGCTCTGAGCAGATGCTTGAGCGGGACTTTGAGCCTCTTAGTGCTGCTGCAAGTATGGATACCTTACTGGATGAGCAAAGAGCAGTGGACAGAGGAAAAGGTGAAGAAAAAAAACAAGAAGTTGTAGAAGGTGAGGCAAGTGCAAAAAAGTCCAACTCTTCCAGGAACCATCGAAGGAACCGCCGGCGAAGCGAGAGATTTGCCACCAACCTGCGCAATGAGATTCAGAGGAAAAAGGCCCAGCTTCAGCGCAGTCGAGGTCCAGGAGGGTTACTGTGTAGTAGAGAAACTGTCCAGGAGGAGGATCCAGATGTCAATGAGGAGGGAGATGCAGAACAGCCAGCCCAGGAAGACGGTGCCAAGGCTACATTTGCCACTCCTTCTCTTCCCCAAGATTCCCAGACCTCAGAACCAGTCATACCATCAAACACCTCAAGTGAATCAGACCGTGATGTCTTAAAGACTCAGTCTCCATCCCTAACCTACCCTCAGAACAATAGTTTATCCAGATCTGTCCAAATTCTGGACCCAGGCGCCCCGAGTTTTGGTGTTGGCATCCGAGTTGTGGAGGAACCAGCTCCCGCTGGCAAGGCCCGCCGTTGGCGTTGGACCCCTGAGCACAAACTCCAACCAGAACCTGATCAAGACAGACAGTGCAGAGTTTCCAATGAGAGCGTTTTAGGAGTAACAGGGTCTCGTCATGGAGTTTGTGCTTTCACCTCATCATCTACATCAACATACGGCCGCTCGTCTTCAGGTTCTCGAACCGAGGATTCTGATATCCTTCCGTTTGCAGATAGAATGAAGTTTTTTGAGCAAACGAGCAAGGGCGTGTCTGTTTCAAATGCCCTGGGGTCTATCCGGAGCACCAGAGGGGGAGAGCCTCCAAACCAAAGGAGATATTCCTATCAGGGGGGACCACAGGAAAGCTCCCTGCTTTCAAACACTGTGGAGGCCAGGAGGCAGTCTGTGAGTAACAGCAGGGAGAGGCGGAAAGAAAAGGAGAGGGAACAAGCGAGGGAAAGGGAGGAGAGGTTGAGGGAGCGAGAGGAGAGGCTAAGAGAAAGGGAGAAGCAGCAGGAAAAGGAAAGACAAGAGAGGGAACTGGAAATGGAGAGGGCAAGGATGAGGGAGATGGAGCGGGAGAGAGAGCGAGAGGAGCGGGTCCGACAGTGGGAAAGGGAAAGGGAGCTCGAGCTGGAAAGGGAAAAAGAAATGGAGAGAGCGAGAGAACGAGAGCGACTCCAAAATCAAAGAGAGAAAGAGCTTGAGAGAGAAAGAGAGAAGGAAAGGGAAGAAGACTGTCAGCTCACCTCTCATCAGGAGTTTTATCGTAGCTGTGGCTTCACAGTAAAAACTCAAGACTTCCAACAACACAAGGAGAACTTCCACAACTTCCAGCCCAAACCTCAGATATTCTCCCACAGCCAAACCCAGAGTCACGTCCCACGATCAGCTTTTTATCCAGTCAGCACCCCTTCCCAGCGACCAGAGAACCGACAAGCTCTGCCCCCGGGATTCTCAGCACAGAGTTACACATCTGCAGAGGTAAGAGGGATGCTCCAAGGGTCTACTCCATTTTTTTTTACCTTGCCCCAACTAAGTGAGCAGGAAACATGGTAATACCCCAGATACGACTATACAATAGCATCAGCAAAGTAGAATTCGTTTACTGTCCCCTTTTAAAAACGAAACAACCCTCATTGACTTGTTCACTTCATATTTTGCCTCTGCCTCACCTGCAGTAACCCTACTACTAATGGTTGCTTTATGTTGTAAGGTGAAGACTCCAAAATATTAGAAAGAAACCCCAATTAAATTACCTCCATGAGCAAGCACTTGGCTACAGCGGCAAGGAAAAACTCCCTTTTAACAGGAAGAAACCCCAGCAAAGTTTCTACCTCCATATTTTAATTCTTGGCCTCTGTTAAAGGATCTCTGTGGGATTACAGTTTAAAATATAATAATGTAATATAATAATAGTAATAATAAGGTATAAAACATCTAATTTTCCTATAGGAAAATCACAGGTAAAACATTTAAGAGCAGTTGGAAATAAAATAAAAAAAATAAAAAATAACAACAATAATAATAACAATAATATTCATGAATAGCCAGGAAGTTGTTTTTTTTTTATTTCTTTGCACAATAATAATATGTAATACTTTTTTGATTGCTCTACTAACTCTTTTGTGTTGGTTTTATATGTGTAAAAGTACTGGCAGCAGCCAGTGAAACTCCTTCAAAGATTTTTTTTAAAAACTTGACCTCTGACCTCAAGGTCACTGAAATTTAAACTCGTCTGAGATTTTTTATAATTACACCTATGTTATTATTTTCCGGATTCTAGGGTAATTTCCTTATGGGATTACCACATTCACATGATTTTCAGAAAACTTGACCTCTGACCTTGACCTTGAGATTCCTGCCCGTCACATGACATGTGCACCTAACCGTGGCAAAAGGTTAGTCTACAGCGCTGATTTTGTTTGTAGGGCTTTTTAAGGCCTTAAAAAAGCACCTTAGTTAACGTTTGAACTAAGCAAAACTGTTATTTTATGCTTGAGTAAGTTAAACCTCACTTTAAAATAATGGTTAAAAATACTTATCTCAGTCAGTCAGACTTTATGATTTTTCGTTGGGTTGAATGCCAATTTATTTTTCTTTTTTGTGTAAAACACCTTTTTATGCATTCACAAGTGGCGCTCAAGCTAAACCATTGTTCGCCATAATTACCAATGAACTCATTTCTGTGTTAACGTTGCGTTATCATATTGAGGCGATGATCCTGAGAGGCAGCCTGCCTAAGTTGAATCACAGCCAGTGTTCCAGCAGCATTGAAACTTAGTACCTCTTTAGAGAGTGAAAAGTAAACTTTTCTGCTGGACCAAGCTGAGATGACCACCGGAGACCGAAAACTATCTCGCTCCTTTCAACCAGCACCACAAAGGGATCGAGTGGCCTCGCTTGGATGTTGGAGCTAAGCGGCCGCTCGGTCCAAGTGCTCCGCGGTTGAACAGTGGGTTTGAAGCCGAGCCTCTTATCCTGCATGCGGTCACAGTCTGAAATTCTCATTCAGCGGATTGTTGCAGCAGAACCTAGAGAGCGAGAGAACGAGCAGCGGCGGGACACTTGTGTCAGCGATAATAGCGGCATAGGGTTACATCTTTACCACAAATTGATCCGACTTAGGGGGGCACAGACCCTCGTCTGAACTTTTGCTTCTTCTGTGAACTCCTGCACATTCGTGCCCTCATCATTCGACACCAAGCAATCCACACTGACATTTGTTTTGGACTAAATGTACTTTGAGTTCAGCATATGTTTGGTTCAGGACACTTCTGTGAGGGTACGCCACACCAAGGCCTCCGGGGAGCCGTGAACCTCGGCCTCCTCCGTGTCGGCATTCTTCTCAAGTCAAAGGTTGCCGGTTAGATGCCACAGCGATAACCCCGTGTGTTTAACTCTGCCGCTGACAAGGTCCATTGTTTTTTAGTGGTAACAGATGTGCTGGATGGGTGATAAGGGGAAACCCTAATATCCAGGTGTCGGTGTGACGGTCAGCCTTAAAATTCACTCATTTCACACAGTTCCCTTTTGTATTGAGAAGTGAGGTTTATGCTGTCATTAAGGTGTGTGTGTGTGTGTCTGTGTGGTCATGTTTGTGTGTTTTGGATACAGGACGGAAACCAAAATCTTTGCAGCCGCTTTTATTATTTGTGGTCTGTCACTGAGTGAAAGGAGGCCGGCTGCGCCTTTAAATTCAATTGATGTTTTGCAAAATCAGATTCCTTTTTTTTTCCTTCTAATTTTACCTCCCACATCATTACAAAAACACACAATGTACTCTTTGAAGCAATATATCCTTCCCCAAAGGCCATCAGTTGTTATTTATACTCAAAATGAAACAAATTCATGTTAATCACTGAGCTGGCAGCGGATTACGATCAGTTGGAAGACTTGACTTGGTTACGAAATTATTTTTAGATGAAGCTGTCAATCCAGCCGTGTTTCCAGTAGAGATGGACCGATCCGATATTACGTATCGGTATCGGTCCGATACTGACCTAAATTACTGGATCGGATATCGGAGAAAAATAAAAAATGTAATCCGATCCATTAAATATCACGAAAGCACCTCACAAAACTTGCAACACGCCGTAACTCACCTCAGAACGTTAGCACGTTGGAGCAGTATGCATCACGTGATAGAGCGGCTGTGGCATGCGGGACCTGTCGGTGGTCTGGATAGCATTTGGAGCTTCGCTAGCAACCCGGCATTTCATCTCCGACAAAGTTATCCCCGAGAGAAGTAAAGCAAGTGTGTAAGTCCATCTCTGAATGTTTGTAAAGCATTCCTGCGTTAAGCTTAACAAGCGACTGCCTCTTCTTGCTGCTACTTCAATCATGAAACTGCTTAACGATCAGCTGATCAGCTTTTCTGTCGCGAGTCCGTCTCTCTTGTTTGTTTTTGGCCCACTTTGCACCAGAAAGAGGAAACCAGCGGCTGAACAACAGCAGCACGTTTAAGCTTGATAAGCTGTTGTTAGAATGTATTTAATATTACTTTCTACTCCAGGATCTTTTTCTACGTAGCTGACAGCTGGTAACTGTGCAGGGGCGGATCTAGCAAAGTTTAGCCAGGGGGGCCGATAGGGCATTAACAGGGAAAAGGGGGCACAAAGACATACTTTTCTTTCTTATTCTCATTTAAAATTTCTAGCTTTTAATAAGTAATTATCTGACACCCAAAGTTTTAATTTGATGTAAAAGGAATAGAAGTCAATTACTGTATATAGTGACTATAAAGTCTAATATATATATACCCTAGTAAGCTATACTACTTTTTCCTTTGGGAAGGTACCATCTGTGCAGTCTGCAATTTTGTTGAAGAAAGATGTTGAATCTATTTAATATTTCTTGAAAAATAATTGATTTCTGTGCATTTTTTTCACACTGCATCAAATTAAGGTTGATTACGTCGATTAAGCATCATGAGGTGGCGCGTGAGGGGTGGTTCCCTATTTTTTATTTATTTATTTTTGTTGTTGCTGGGAGTTGGAACCCTATTAGTTAGGTTGCTTAATATTTACACTAAGTACTCTTTAAAATACCAGAATAGGGAGGATGGTGTAGGTTTAAGTTTATTAGATTGATCAGTATTGCTGATTTTTTGCATACAGGTATAACAGAATAGCTTTAGTGTAGTTGTTGTTTTAAACTTGAGTATGAACTTATACAAAATGCACCAAGATATTTAAAAAAACAGTTTTGTTGATTAAAAAACACTATATCGGATTCATATCGGTATCGGCAGATATCCAAATTTATGATATCGGTATCGGACATAAAAAAGTGGTATCGTGCCATCTCTAGTTTCCAGCTTAATATTCTTCTATCAGTCTGTTTTTAGCTTTGGCATGATTTTATACACGAGGTGATGAGGAAATTGGACTAAGACCAGCCATAGCATCCACTGAGGGATGTCTGCGAGGTGGGAACAGGGCGAGGCTGAGGCAGCAGTAGAGTCGTGAGCTTCGAGAGATCTGCACGGTAGCCACGTAAAGAATGATAACGAACCGAACAGCATCACCAGGAAGCAGACTGGGTGGGAGTCGATGACAGATGGACAAAAACTTTTTTACATCCACCACAGTGGCAGAGCTACAGAATAACGAATGTAAACAACCTGGTTAAATGACAGCAGCCATCAGTTGTTCTGTGTCCAGAGGGAGGGCATGGGGTCTACTCCACAACATTTATTTCACAGCTTAAGCATTATTCTGCAGTTTCAGACTTCCTGTATAAAAATGTTTCTCTTGTATAACAGTTATGGCCAAAACGTGTCATAAATAGTGCTAAGTCCCTTTTAATAATAAGTCAAAGAGCCATCCAAGTGCTTGTGAAATAGAGCTTGTTATTAGTTGTTATCTTTTGGTTTTATGCTCTGCTGACATCAAGTGACGGCCAAATATGTAAAATTCACTTCCAGCTGTGCCAACAGAAAAACCATCTGAATGTTCTGATTTGCATCACAGACAGTCAGAAAATATTCCTCCACAGCTGTGTGTGTGTGTGTGTGTGTGTGTGTGTGTGTGTGTGTGTGTGTGTGTGTGTGTGTGTGTGTGTGTGTGTGATGAGAGTGCAATGAGTTCGCTCACTGTTTCCCTTGTGTAGTCACAACAATTTTGGAAGCTTCTGGAAAATTGTGTAAAAGTCTTAAGCCACCCCTTCATATGTCTTCATATTATTCCATCTGACACTTGAGTTCACAGCCTGAACTGTCTTAGGCAGCTAACTTCTTTACGTAGTCTTCAGGAATAGTTCTTCAGGCTTCTTGAAGGACACTCAAAGCTCTTCTTTGGATGTTGGCTGCCTTGAGCTGATCCTACACTGCTTCAAGTATATTGAGCTTTGGTCTCTGGGGAGGCCAATCCCTGACTGATAGTGTGTCACTTCTGGGTTTTTCTGTCCAGGTATGCTTTTACTACACTGACAGTGTGTTTGGGGTCATTATCATGGTAAAAAATAATGAAGTTGTTGCCAGTCCGACACTTTACAGATGATATTGCATAGTGAATCAAAATCTGATGGGACTTTCTGTCTTCATTATTCCATCAATTTTGACAAGATCTCCAACACCACCAGCTGAAATGCAGCTCCCAACCATGACAGAGCCTCTACCATGTTTTACAGATGGCCGTAGACCCATCTCCTGACTTCCTCCATACATATTGTCAGTGATTTGAACCAAAAATGTAAAAAAATGGATTCATCACTCCATCAGACCTGTTTCCACTGATTTTCAGTTTTCAGTTTCTCCCTGTTTTGTTTAAGAAGGTCCACTGAGACATTTCCGATGAGGCTTCAGTGAACAGTAGATGGATCAACTGAAGAAGGCCTGGAGAGTGATTGCTCAAGACCAATTTAAAAATAAGTCCAGCTCCTTGGAAGCAAAATATGTTTATTTTACTGACATGCAATAGTGGCTCTGACTGTAAAATAGACAACAGTGCAGGAGATGAAAGGAGCGATCCATCCTATCTAAATAAAATCTTAAGTGAACAAACAAATCTACAAAAGCTGCATGTACTACAAACAGAAACATCCTGCAATAAAGCGAAGATGAGGTTAGCAATCTCTTTAACTGCATCCCAGGAAACTGTTACGTGCAGGGAGAAAAGGACCCAAATGCAAAGCAAAAGCAAAAAAGAGCAGAACTCAAACACAGAACGACAACGAGGCACGCAATCCAAGCAGAGAGCAGGAACAGTCCATCAAAAATGCTGTCCACAAAGAAGACAGCCAGGGGGAGTGATCAAAGGATGATTCACAGCAAACTGACTTCAGGGTAAACCCTGTGTTTTCAGTGTTATGAAGGTCCCGCTGCCTTCCCTTCCATTACAAAACGCAGCCTTACTAAACAGTCCTCACTCGAGCACATGTGATATGATGAAGAAAGAAAAGTTATAAATAGGAAGACAACAAACAACTCGGAGTGGAAAATGTACAGATGAAGAGATTTACAATTAAATCACACAAAAATACACAACAAATGTTAATATAATTATTAAAAGTCAGACAAATGCGTTTTTAGAAGACAACTTAAATAAGGTAGAGATGGAGAATATATTAAAAACAAAAGTGCATTTGAAGCTATATAACAATAAAAAGTTGACTCATTGCAGTTCATCAAGTTTGGTTTTAGACTTAGAAATACTTCACACTCAGCACAAGTTACCTCCACCTCTCTAAACCCCGTCACCACTGCAGGGTGGAGTAACACACCAATTTCCCTTCAGCTGGGACGTGTGCTGAACATCACTCAGCTCCAAATTGAAGCCTTCCTTCATTCCTTTGGTGTTATTAACCGCCATTAAATCTCTCCACAGACTTATCCTGCCAGGCAGCAGGAAACAAGCAAGCTCAACAGGAAGTACAGCCTGACCGAGAGGTGAGCCGCTTCCTTCTTCTCCCGCACCTTTTTTTTTTTCCCTTCTTCTTTCTGACCTGGTTATCTTCACGTATTTGCTCACGGCCTTTCTTTTCACTCGCTCCATCCCCTGTGTGGTTCTCCGGAGGCGTTTAGGTGCGGTCGGGCCATTGTGCACTGGCGGGCGGAAATCCCACTCAGTCATGCCCGGCTGTGATTTGCCTGTAATGAGCTCTAAGTGTGTGGAGTAATCACGCGTGCTCCAAATGTGACCATAATGATATGTGGTTGGATGTATGTTAGCGGGAGGGGCATTTAGGACGCATAGTGCTCGTTAAAGGGCCTCTGCTCGGATTTGACCTGAGACCGAAACAGCTCAGTGAGCATGGTATGCACAAAGGAAACATTTACTGTAATTGAACCGCTTTCACTGTCTCTGTGTTTTTGTTCCTGATGTGCTTTTTTTCAGGAATACTCCCTCTGGAAATGTCCATCTTGTCTTTTGTTACTCGAACTTTGATTGTTTTTATTTAGCAGTTTATTTTAACAGGAAGACTCAATTTTGGGGGGCAAACAAACTGTTTCCAAAAGCATTTTCAAAACTTTAACAGTATACACACTTTACAAATAGAGCACAATGTCATCAGAAGAATTAGTGAAAAACGTGGCATTTGGAACCAATTCAAAACAAAATTTTCAACCCAACCTGCTCTAAACCACCTTTTCTGTTCAGTTTGAAGGTTTGAAGCACGTTTTCTCTCCACAGCAACTCCTGTATTTCAGTTTTAAATAGAGGATCAAAGATGCATGTGTTTTGTGACGTGCAACTGTAAGAACCTCCTGCCAGCATGCATAAAAGCAAGCACAAGGCTCACGATTTCAGTCTGTATAAGTGCAGTCGATAACTGGCAAGCACTTCATTTTATTTTTGCTTCTTTGATAAAGGAAAACATCATTACTTAGGGTGTAGTCAACAAGATTGACCATTTTCATGATCTTGGTGTCAAATCATACATATACGTTCACTAGACACTTTATTAAGTACACCTTGCTATTACAGTGTTGGACAGCTTTCGCCTTTGCAGCTACTTTAATTGATCATAGTGTAGATTGAACTAGGTGCTGGAAACATTCCTCAGATATTTGGATCCATGTTGGTATGACAGCATCACACAGTTGCTGCAGATTTGTCAGCTCCACATCCATGAGAAGAATCTCCCGTTCCACCAGATCCCAAAGGTGCTGTGTTAGACTGAGATCTGGTGACTGTGGAGGCCACTTGAGTGTGGTGAACTCATTGTCATGGTCAAGAAACCAGCTGAGATGATGTGAGCTTTGAGACATGATTTGGTGTCCTGCTAGAAGCAGCCATCAGAAGATGGTACACTGTGGTCATTAAGGGATGGACACGGTCAGCAACAATACTCTGTGGGGTTTAAATGATGCTCAGTTGGTACTAAGGGGACCAGCGTGTATCCACACACTGTTACACCGACACCTGAACCAATGATACAAAGAAAAACCTCAGCATGCCATCTAAATGTCGTGTGAATTGTAGCCCCAGTCTCCTGGTCTTAGCTGACAGCAGAGGCACTCTGTGTGGTCTACTGCTGCTGTAGCCCATGTTCTGCGTACCTTGGATGTAACGAGTGGTTACTTGAGTTGCTGTTACCTTCCTATCGGCTTGAAGCAATCTGGCCATTCTTCTTCACCCACCCACTGGACATCTTCTCTTTTTAGACCATTTTCTGTACACCACAGAGATGGTTGTGTGGGAAAATCCCACACAAATCAGCTGTTCCTGAAATACTCAGACCAGCCCGTCTAGCAGCAACAATCATCCCAAACTCAGTCACTTAAATCTCCTTTCTTCATCATTCTGATGCTCAGTTCATGCAGTCTTTGGACATTGTCATAATAAATGTTTTTTGCAGTCATTTGGCGTTTGAACTGAACTGTTTTTGTTCAAATTTAGACAAAAAGAAACCGAAGAAGTTTTTAAATTGTAAATTTCAGGCTTTGTCAAAGTTAGAAATATAGAAATCACAGGCAAAGGCCAAAAATTCACGTGGCGTGAATGTGAGAAACAGCTAGGCTAGTGTTGACTAAGCCTTTCATCCTCAGCTGAGCTCTGTTACAAGGAATTTGTGTCACGATGTTTCTGAGCTCTTCCTTTATCTATAAGCTTGGCTCACTCTCTATTTATTTATAAAATAACCTTTCTCGTGTCACTCTACTTTCTCCACAACAAAAGGGACTACCCAAGCTGGAGGCGGGAGTCCAGACCTCCAGAGAACATCGGTCAGTACCAGCAGCACCTCCAGCAGCCTCGATGGGGCCTCAGACACACAGACAGCAGCACTGATGACCACAACGGCTACGCTTTTGCACCTCCACCAGCTCCTCTTTATCTCAGAGGTCGAGCCATGTCCGAAAACGACCTCCGCTTCGACAGCAGCCAGCGCTGGTCCCCTTCAATTTCCATGGCAACCAGCCAGACCCTGAGTGAGGTGGAGGAAGGCAACATGAGACGTGGAGATGCATCAAGTGTTTCCAGGCAAAACAGGAAGAAGACACCCCCTCCTCCAAGACCACCACCCCCAAAGTGGGAGCAGTTCCACCGCCGGCGAGCGTCTCACCACACCCTGTTCGCCTCCTCATCTGCTTCTGCTGCTCCTCACTCCATCCCTGCCTCCTTCAACTCTCCAGGGGCTCACTATTCAGCCCACTCATCCACCTACGTCCCTCCACCTGACACTTCCAGGCAGAGGTCCTTCAGTCTTCCTCCAGAGAGGCAGGAAGTGGTGGAGGGCGGGTGTCCAAGATGCAGCTGCAGTCAAACCCAGGAACGCACAATCGCCCCGTCCAATCAGAATCAGCCTCAGTTTCAGGAACGCCTCATTACCGTTGCTCCACCTAGCCCCATGTTCTCCAGGAGGGGATTCAGGCCGGTGGCTCCGCCCCATAGAGAAAGGGAGGCTGAATCACCTCTGCCGCCTCCACCGCCTCATCCTCCTTCAGTAGCAAAGGAGAACAGTGTGAGCAGGTGAGACTGGAGAAAATGCTGATGTTTATAAATAACTTTGTTTTTTTATTAAATGTTGAATTATTTGTTTTAGAAAAGTCAGAAAAACGAGAAGAAAAAACTTTTGCATAACAAAACAAGAAGATGATCGATTCCTGTTCTCAGGCATAGAAAACCAGTAAAGATCAATATTTGATGGGCTAATATCAGTCACTGTTAATATTTTAATCAGTGTTGGGCAAGTTACTTTGAAAAAGGAATTAATTATAGTTACTAGTTACTTCTTCAAAAAATTAACTGAGTTACAAGATTCGAAAAGTAACTATTGCGTTACTTTAAAGACATCTTTAACCCTCTGGGGTCCGGGGTATAATTGGTCATTTTTGACTACTTTTGATTTTCTCTCTACATTTTACCTTTAAAAACTATTTACTTTGCCTTGTTTGGTTTCATTCTTTTCAGCACAACCTCACGTGTGTGAAAGTACAGTTATGTTTTCATGTTGACATACTGCATTGACACCATTGATCTAAAATCAGACAAAAAAACATAAAATCCAAGTAGAAATTTACATTTTTTTACTGTAACAAACACTTTTTTAAATAACCATTTCAAACTATTTACAGAACAATCAGCTGTTCTGCATTCAATAAGATGCCACAAACTTTTTGTGCCACTCCAAATATTTCTGTCCACTATAAAGGAGAACATCACAGCCTGATACCTGCAGGTCTGACAGCAGCAGGTGTATCACTCCTGTTTCTACCTGGAGACAGCAGCCGCCTCATTGTTCTGACACACAATGCAAAACTATCCACAACACTACACACTAACTACACAAGACAACACATGAACTACACACTCCAAACACGCTAAACATCACAAATCTCTCACATCTCAAAACTTGCTCTCCCACTCTTTTTCTGCGCTCTCTCTCTCTCTCTCCATCACTCCTAAAACTTCCCCCTCTTCCTAAACAACCAAATGTCACTTTGCCATATCATTTTTTAATTGGTCGACATGGTGCATTTGTCCAACAAGACGAACGGGCTGTTTTTGTTGTTGTTTTTTTTGCTCATAAGCAGAGAGTGCTTGCTGCGCTGTCCTTGGACAGTAAACGTGACGAAACTATTGAGGAAAAAACGCCACGTATATTGTTTATCATGACTCTGGTTTTATGTGGCCTCTCAACACAATTTAAAAACTGGTATATGTCACCTTGTTGCTTTTGTCATCTTAAAGTGGTCATGTGATTGGCTTACCACGACTACTTTATTCTTCCTCAGTGAAACAGCAGCACTCATGCGCTTGTTTGTCCCCTGAGCTACAGGTGTTGTTCCAAAAAGTGATTGTCGAGCAGAAAGTGATAGCTGAACGCGGGAGCGCGCAGCTGCTTAAAGCTGTAGCACCCAGTTTACTTACGTAGACAGCTACTTCCGTGCAACTGTAACGCCGTTATTCCCATCACTGATTTTAATAGACTCCTAATTCCTGTGCTTGGTTTACTGATGTGTCAGATTATTTTAATTCTCTTGTTTCTCTGTAGTTCATCTGCGACGGACGTCAGCTGCAGCCCAGACCACAACAAAATTACAGTCAAACCTTACAAACAGCAGCCCAGCGTGAGACCTGGAGCAGAGTGGGAGAGAGCTTCAGCCCCCAGGGTTCACAGCGACACGGCGACCCCTCCTATTTTAGAAAACGGAGGTGTCATCGAGGCTTCCGGTAGATATGCCAGTCAAACCGACTGCGAGCAACTTCGTGTGGACAGAGGCTTCCAGATGGAAGATCAGCAGAAGATCCTTGAAACAGGAACCGAATCAGAGACGACCCTCAGCCCGAGCCCAGAGCACAGCCTGGAGGCTGACCTGGACGTCCCCCTAGAGACCGACATCGATGACTTCCAGGAGGAGGAGCTTCCGGGAGAGGACATTCCCATCACAAGCGAGCTCCCGTGCTTCGCCCTCCCTGTCACGGTCCTGGAGACGGACATCGACACGCTCCCGGATTCTGAGGCATCTCCGTCAGGCAGGACAAGGGTGGAGAGCAGCTCCCTGGAGGAGGAGCTGGAGGGTGGGGAGAGCAGCAGTAGAGAGGGGCTGAGCCTGGAGGAGCTCTTCCCCCAGAGCAGTGAGGGCGAGTCGGGCACAGAGAGCTGGAGAGAAGCACAACCCGTAGAGCACAGCACAGACAGCCTGGATAGGTATGAGAGAAGAGAGCGTGTGTGTGCGTGCGTGCGCGCGTGTGTGTGTGCGTGTGTGTGTGTGTTACACAGACCATTTGATTTGTACAAGACTTAACTGTTCTCATCACTAAGCTCATTCTGTTTCCCACAACCTTTCCAAAAGACTTGGTTCTTCTCTGTTAGGTTTACAGATGGTTCGTAGTCGCAGGCACAGGTGCATGGTGGGTAATTAGCACCACATAGAGTGCAGACGGGTTCATTTTTTTAAATCTTAAAACTGAAAAATCAACAAAGAAACATTTGTTTTTCATTTTTGTCTTCACTTTTTTTAATGAAGTGTCTTTATTGTCACTGTACAGCAATTTTGAATGCAATCTCACCAACAGTCCTAAAAAACATATAAAACTATATAAGATTTAAAAACAGATTTAAAAAGGGGGAAAGCATAAAAACATTTTTTTTAGTCTGTTTGCCCTTTTAATTGCTCTGCCCCACCTGATGGTCACAGATTAAACAGGAGGTGACCGGGCTGGGAGAGATCTGTGATGATCTGATTATGATATTAGGCTGTCTGAACTGTGTAGGTCCTCACAGTTTCCAATCATTTTAACCCTTGATAACACTGATAACCCTCTGGACCTTTTTCTGTGCCACCACACAACAAGGAAACCCCATGTGGAAGCAGTATGTTAAAATGCTATCTATAGAGTTGAAGTAGGAAACCAACAGCCTCAGAGGGATGTTCTTCCTCCTGAGGACACTCGGGAAGTAAAGTCTCTGCTGTGCTTTCTGGGATCAGATCCTCCTTGATGTAAACTCCCAGAAACCGGACGTTTGTGACTCGCCTCCACATACTTCCCACTGATAATTAAAGACAGCACCTTTTGTTACGAATGTGTTTAGGAGCAGGTTGTTATCTCTGTGAACGGACACAGTACCCTTCTTATCTTTAATTTCAACATCGTACGATCCTTTCCAAAGGCCTGGATTGGACCCTGACAAGTTCTTTGACTTAACACTGAAAACTTTTATTTTAGCTTACCTGTAGTCCAGACAAAGCCGTATAGGTGGAAGCGGGTCAAGTTACCCAAAAACGTAGTTAAAGTAATTGTGAAATTCTAAGTCATTGATTTATTTTTATATTTCAACCCATTATGTTGAAAAAGAACTCCCCTAAGCATTACACAGTGTTGAAAAAACAAAACAAACTTCACTGTCCTCTCATTTGGCTTCATGTTTCACAGTTTTGGAGCCGAGTTGTGCCGAGATGCCGCTCGTTAATGTCTTGCCTCATTAAACCCACGTAATTAATTGCACTTCTTTTACATGCACCTGTAATCTCCGTGTTTTTACAGCTTTGTCTGTTTTGCACCTCTTTTTGTCTTTTATCACTGTGGGAATAACATAAACTCCCCTGCCGGTGCCTTCTCCACAGGCGGTCAGGAGCTAGCTCCAGCTGTTCGTCCTATTACAGCACATCAACGGCCAAGGCTCAGATCCTGTCGCAGATGAAGGACTTCACAGATAACAGAGAGCGCGACAAGGATGACGAGCTGACCTACAAGGTAATTCATGCGACTGCTGTTTGAAGAACGGGTGTGGTGGAGATAAAGGGAGAGGACCGCTCCTGGTTATTGGGCTTTAAGTTCTTCCTCTGTTGTGTAGAAACAGCTGATGGAGAGCCTCCGGAAGAAGCTGGGAGTGCTGAGGGAGGCTCAGAGAGGACTGCAGGAGGACATCAGAGCCAATGCACAGCTGGGAGAGGAGGTAAGGACGAACTCATTCACCTGGTCATTATGTCAGCACAGAACAACACACTTATTAACATGTTGTATTTTTCTTGTTCAATCAGATTAAAAGAAAAGTACCGTTTTCTTTTTAAAGCAAAGCTGTTTATTGCTTTGTTTTAGATGGTTTTGTGTGGTTAAACACACAAGAGTGGTTAAACGCTCTTGTGTTGTTAAACACAAGAGATCTAATGTGCTAAGAAGAAGTGTGATGTGTAGCGCTGCAGTAACTGCACAGAGACGAAGCTGATGAAAGAGCTGTTGAAGCTTGGTTAAGAAGGGAGGTGCTCATCAGTGAGCGGCAGTTTGCCTTCACTGGCTTCAAGAGTACTACAGATGTGATGTTTGCTTTCTTGTGTTGATGGAGAAGTATATGATAGCGAGAGGAGCTGTGGTCCTGCATGAGGAAGTCAGGAGGGGCAGAGGAGTATGTGAGGGTGGTGCATGTATGAGGACAGCGAGGAGGTGTGCGATAGGAGTGACAGATGGGTTCAAGGTGGGGGTGGGATGATATGCACGATCTGATATCCTCATGTTGGTGTCGTTCCTGATAAAAAAACAAAAAAAACCAAAAACTAATTCTGGTCCAGGTTCACCATTGCAAGTGACCAATCACATTGTAGTGATAGGGGTTAAGGTTAACCAAACTATATCCTTAACCACAACTGCATCCTAACCCCCGCCCTGAGCCTGACCCGGACAGCCTCTCCTCCTAAGTGTACGTCATCAGCATTTTTGTTTTCTGTGACATCATAACAGTGTGATTGGTCAGATGCAGTGTTGATCCTGGACACATATTATGATGATCCAGGAACAACACCAACACAACGATCACACAGACTGGAATTATAATAGTGATCGGCTCTGAGCCCCTTTTTCTATTGACTGATGAGGACAAGCAGGAGTCTCTGTGGACTGTGATGTTTGCAGACGACGCTGTGATCAGTAGTGAGAGTCGTGAACAGGTGGGAGAGATCCTGGAGTGGAGGAGGTATGCTTTGGAGAGGAGGGGAATAAAAGTCAGTGGAAGCAAGACAGAATCCATGTGTGTGAATGAGACGGAGGCAGGTGGATAGGTAAGCATGCAGGGAGTGGAGGTAGAGTTTAAATACTAAGAAAAGAGGAAGGCCACAGAGAATGTTTATGGATAGTGAAGGAGGACGTGCAGGTGGTTGGTGTGGCAGAGGAGGATGGTAAGGATAGGGTTTGATGGAGGCAAATGAGCCACTGTGACAAACCCTAAAGGAGAAGACATTTAAGGAAGTGTTTAAGAAACACGAATGAACAGTGCAAATATGAGTGTAAGAGTGTGGGGACCTTTAAAGCTAATAGTGTTCAGCCTGCTAGGTTTTTTTCTTCACTTAAATTAGCACATTGTGTTGGATTTTCTAACCAATAGGAGGCTACAAAAACCAGACAGGTTTATTTGAAAAGTTCGTGGCAGTTATTTTTTTTATAGCATCTTATGGATGCAGAATGAAGAAGCGTGTTGATGCTGGGTAAGGTTTCACATCCACTGCATCAGCTCTGTGTTTCATCAGCTCTGTCCATCACGTCACTGACTTACAGTAAATCTGCTCTTCCTGTTTGCTCTCAGGTGGAGAGCATGGTGGTCTCCGTGTGCAAGCCCAACGAGGTGGACAAGTTCCGCATGTTCATCGGCGATCTGGACAAGGTGGTGAGCTTGCTGCTGTCGCTGTCCGGGAGGCTGCTAAGGGTGGAGACCACGCTGGACACACTGGACCCTGATACGGAGCACCACGAGAGGGTGAGGGTGATGAGGGTGGAGAGAAACGAGGACAAGAGCAGATGTAGACAGAGTGGACTTGTAGTGCATCGGGCTTTGTTTTTAAAATACCTCTATTCTCCCTCTCCCTCGCTCTCTGCACTGCAGCTCCCCCTGCTGGAGAAAAAGCGTCAGCTCATGAGGCAGCTGTCCGAGGCTCAGGACCTGAAGGACCACGTAGACCGCAGAGAGCAGGCTGTGAGCCGCGTGCTGGCCCGCTGCCTCTCTCCAGAGCAGCACAGAGACTACAGGTGGGATATATGCCCAGTGTGGCAACATAAACAAACCCACCGGTGGAGAGTTCTGGTGAGAGCTCACTTTTCTTTGTAAGAGTGTAGTCAGGAGCTCTGGAATGGGTTCATCTAGAGACTGGAAAGTGTCACAGATCCTGCAGCATCTGGTGAGTTCTCTCTGGACCTTTGAAAATCCAGTGGAGATGGTCTAAAGTATCACGCCAGACCGTATCCAGGTCGCCAAGGGAAGCCAGGAAGCCAGATATCTCTAAAAAGTCTGGGTCATGTGCATAATGTGTGTTATGACCTGGGTTTTCAGTGGGGTTGTCTCTGAGCATGCACCTGAGCTCGTGCAAACCATGGGAATCTGACTGCTTCACTAAATATAAGCTGAGCTCAATACATTTTCTTGTGTTGAAGGGCAGCATGTGACAGACACTAAAGCATGTTAACTCCATAAATCAAAGTATCAAAGCTCAACATTCTACCCCAAACATCTTAATAATATTCACTGTGGGTTTTTTGTGTTTTTCCCTTCGGCAGCCACTTTGTGAAGATGAAGGCCGCCTTGCTGGTGGAGCAGCGGCAGCTGGAGGACAAGATCCGACTGGGAGAAGAGCAGCTGAGGGGGCTGAGGGAGAGCCTGGGACTGGGGCTGGGGCTGGGAATGGGCATGGGCATGTCGATGGGATATGGACAATATTAGGAACAACAAAGCTTGAAAGCGGAGAAGAAGGAAGGGTTTTTTTGTAGACTTTACTTGGATATGAAGAAAAGGAGATTTGGTGATTACGATTTCATCTGTCTGAGAAAAGGATGCCATCCTGATCAATTTTCATCGTGAACCTCCGCTCTTATTTTGAAGGAAAACTGCATCACTTGTTTTGAGACCAAGTATGAAACCATTGCTAGGAGCTGATTAACTTGGAAATAACTGGGCTGGCTCCATCTGCAGATAGCGAAATCGTCTCCTTGTCTAAAACTGACTGCCTCACAGATTTCTGAAGTCTTCATGTAGCTTCACATTTAGCACCTCGAACTACTTTTTTAAGGATTAGCAGACCTGTACGCAGAGAATTCAGGTCCAACACAAACAGCTGAATCAGCACCCTGCAAGGCTCTAAGTAGGTGAGAAGTAATGGAGGTCTCTCAACAACAGAGACCAGGAGAGAGGCACGAGTCCAAGGTGTCAAAATGAAAAAAGACGGGGGAAAAAAAGACTGTTATTATCATTAACTACAGACTGCAGTGGATGGATAAATCTAAAGATATACCAAAACATATCAACAATTAATCTCCAGGATATGCGATCTGAGAGCACAGAGCATGCTCAGTGTTGGAAATGGGGGGCGATCTGTGAGTGAAACAGCTGGTGAAGATTCATAGTGAGCGGCTTCTCGTGGACCGAACGAACACGTGAGAAAATGTTGTACCCTCTGCTTCACATTATGAACCACGTACTGTAACATTTATTGTCCTCTAACCAGTATCGCGCCACGCTGCCAAAGACATTTTTGCTTGTTGAATGTGTCACTAAGACGCTGCTCACTTTGTTGTTGTTGTTTTTAATGTATTTAAATCTCCTGGTTCAGAGAATTAAAGGATTTTTTTGGTGCTTAACTTAACCACACTAAAGCCAATATTGTGAAATGCCATTTGCAGGATTATTAACAGCTAAACATGTCATTTCTACAGCCTTCAGCAACACATATACTGTTTTATCTAAGCATCATATTGTCATATCACTTTATATTCTTTTTACTGTAATGTCTGTGGCTGTAAACATGTGTTACTGTGTGGAGTTTGACACTTCACTGACTTGTTCTGCCACGGAGTGACCGTTATGTACAGAAGATGCGTGTTTATAATGTATATAGCGGTTTTGATATTTGAAATGACTGGAATAGGTTGTAAAAGATGAGAAAGAAGACCAGAAGGAGTTGAAGTTTACTGTATATTTTGGCAGTGGATGAATCCAGTGTTTGGTTTGTGTTAAACTAAACTTTGTGTATCCTTTTTCATTTTTTCTGTCCAATAAGCTTGTTCAAGCAACTGTAAAGTTTTAAAAATGTTTTTAAGTCCACCATTTTTGCCCTAAAATTTGTATTCGAGTCCCAAATGTTGTATAAATTTTGGCTATTTTTGATAAGAAGATTCAAACCCTGTCAAACCCTTTCAGTATATATAAGGTTACATCTAGCAGCCAGTTAGCTTAGTTTAGCATTGATGACAAGCCCGACTCTTTCTGCCAGCAAAATTAAATAATTAACACATTGTATTTTGTTTATTGATCCATAAACAAAGGATTGAAAGTGTGAAAACTGCAGTGTTTTAAAGCTCTACCTCTTGATGCTAATGGAGCTAGCATCTTGGTATTTAGGATTTAGCGGCTAATTGTTTTAAGTTGTTTATTTTAGCCTTGTTTTAAAGTTCAGCTCAAATTAAACAAAACCAATCTAATCACTGAGTCATAAAGTAAATGTTAAACACCAATTATTATAAAAACATAAGGTAAGTATCACAATTGATACTGGAACAAAAGTGTAAAGACCTAGCTACTTAACGTAATTGTTTTAGCTTGTTTTGGTTTTGTTATAACTTTTAGGTTAACCACAAAAAACACAAAATAAACCATAAATAACCAACCTAGATACAATGTGTTAAATATTGAGCTTTAAAGTGCAGTTTGTACACATTAAACAAACAAAATGCAGTGTTCCCTTGTTTCAAGTCTTTCTGCTAAGATAAGCTAAGCTAACACGCTCTTGGAAGTAGATTGATATATGTAGTATCAGTTTTCTCATCTACATTTTATCTAGAGAGCAGATACAGCCCGTTTTAAAACTGAATTTTGTGGTTTTTGTTGACAAAATGGAGAGAATTCAGCTTTCCTGAAAGAGAGAAGAACTTCTAGTTAATTGTTTATTGTTACAACCCTCCATTAAACTTTAAAACAACTTCTGTCTTGTAATTTGGGATTTGTTGCCAAAATCCAATTCCAAGCTTTTTCCGCTGGCCTAAACCTCAGAAAGGAGTCCAGACCTGCCTGTCTGAATAAATACAAATTCAAAACTAGAAGAGCAAACCCCATTCCAAAGATTTCTAAGGAAAGTGATGCTGAAGGGAAATGAAACGGCTCTGAAACGCTTTGGTCCAATCTGTTTGATCATTTAATTATTGATCAACTGAAACAAAGAACAAACCTACATTTTATTCCATTATCATTTCATTTTCTTAAGATGTCCAGTTAAACTTAAAACTGTGTTACTCCCATGTTTTGTACATATTAAATGTATCCCTGCTCTATAAATTGACTGGAAATGTACTGATTTGAAAGGAGAGGGACAGAAAGTTGCTTATTGGACCTGAGAAAGAGAATAATTCTTCTGTTCATGTTTCCATCTGTCATTTTGATTTAATACAAACCATTTTTTGTCTCTTTTTGTAACATGCATTACTGAAAAGGCCTGTTTTATAACTGCAAAAACACTCATCTGAGGAAAAAGTACCATAAATAATAATAATGATATTTTAAACCAGCTTTGGGTCTCCTGCTGTGATTTATGCCCTCATGGGTAAAAGCTCTCTTTATATCAACTTGTCCGGTGCTGAAATGCGTTTTCCTCTCGGGGTGGGGCCATTCTTCAAATGTGGTTGGACGAAATACGGCTCGGGGTAAATGGAGGTTGACTGATGACGAGGGGGAGTCATTCAGCAGCTCTGCGGGATCTGGGGAGTTCTCCTGAAGGGAAATGATCTCTGTGTCATTAATACTGATGCTCTGTCTAAATTGCTGAATGGAGCAGAGGCCAGGAAATACAATATTAACGTACAGTGTCGTGAGTTGTATGTTTAAGGAGCAAAACCGCCCCAGTTTAATGTTTTGGTAACTCCCAAAATTATTTTTTATATTGGTTTAATGGTTAATCCACCAGATACACAAGCTATTTAACTAAAATGATGTTCTTAATGTTAAAATATAATTATTGTTATTAATGAATTCTGAAAATTACCATTTATAAAAAAGACCAAACAAACTAAAGTACATTATTATTATTATTATTATTATTATTATTATTATTGTTGTTGTTGTTATTATTTTGTCCAATTGCAGTTAATTACTTGCATTCCTGAACAGAAAAAAATTGTATTTGTATTCAGCGCTTTCATAAAAGTCTAATTTTTATGCATTTGCTACTACTAAGGTCATGTGGTTTAAGGTCTTTTGTCCTATTCACTGGAAAGTGAGTGAAAATAAAAATGGGTGTCATTTTACAGATTCTGCACTCAGGTCCGTATCAGTGAAATGCATCTAGATTCTGCTCTTTTTCTGATTCTGCCCATTTCTTCACTTTCCCGATGAACTTGCATTTAAATCCAGCCCTCTGTACTACTGCAGTCTCTCTGTGCCTGAGTCCTTTTCACAAAACATGAAATCACTGTTTTGTACATTTTAACACAATTGAATCCCCACATTTGTGAAAGTCTGTAACAAAACCATCAAATCTGATCAAGGTTATTTAAATGCTGCAAAAGAAGAATGGATTGGAATAAAAAAAAAATACATATCCTAACCTTAATTACTGCGGGAGAATAATGGATGATGCTCATAGTGAATAAAAAGTAAACTGACTGCATTTTTTTGGACAGAGATTCACTTTTAATGTGTATTTTATAATATAATACAGATACATAAAAAAATACACTCCAAAATAGAAGAGTCCATGAAATGTACAAATGTGCAAAATATTAATAAAAAATTATAAAAAATTGAGGCAACTTTGCCTATAGTACAATGTATAGAATGTATGAAAAGATCTTTACTGCAGATACTAATTTTACTAATTTAATAATACTAATTTTGTGTTGTAAGATTATAAGTTTAAAACATTTTTAGAATATAAACTGCTTCTCTTTACAGCTCCTCACTCCACCAGGGCACTTTCTGATAGTGTGCAAATGTGGTGCACGTACTGCGGCTATCATACAGACAACTAGGAGGTCCAAAGGTTGGCCTACCTATTATTGGCTGAGGTTTTAGTAGAGTTGTGGCTGAAACACATAAAAAATATATTATTAATTTTAATCTCCCCAATCAATTTTGAAAAGTAACTAAGTAACTAATTACTTTTGAAAATAAGTAATCAGTAAATTAATTGGATTACTTTTTTGAAGATGCAATCAGTTACTAATTACTTTTTTCAAGCAACTTGACCAACACTGGTGATGATGTGCCCATCAAAATGAAGTCCTACCTCAGCCTGCTAGTCGCTTCAGTTGCTAGCTGTGATGTGACATATAAAGGGTTGACCGAGAATCTGAGTCTTGCTTATAGACTAACGACTTGTCAATCACGAGGTGAAATGTATCTTTTTTATCCTCCTCTCTGACTCTTCAGGGGATCATATCCTAAAAGAAAACTTGATGTTTTATTAAATATTAAATTAAATATAAACTGTAAACTTGCCAGATCACTGAGAAAATCATCAGCAGGGTCATCTTCCCAGATTTTACAATCTGAGTCACCTCATGATGGCCATCAGAAATATGACTTCAAATGTTAATGTGTGCAAGTCTTTTCTGCTGGTTCTCTGTTTGCAAGTGAGAAAAACTAAATAAAACAAAACAATACGTACATAGTTCACACAAGTATTATGAATAAAGGACACCAAAAGAAAATTATTTTGATTTGAAAGGATTTTAATTAATTTGCGTAAGTTTTTGAGCAAATAATGGATACAAGTAACAACAGCTTAACATTTCACTCCTCAGAATTATGTAAGAAGTGTTTGATTTCTTAATGAAAATCATCAGGTCATTAATAGGGATGGGTATTGAAACCCGGTTCTTGTTGAGAACCGGTTCCCACTGTTTCAGTTCCTTGGAATTGTTTGTCTTTTTTGCAAATATTCCCTTATCGATTCCAGTCGCCCCGAATGACATCACCACGTTGCGGAGCGTCATTTACCTGGCAGGAAACATGGCGCCTCAAACGCTCAAAACTTTGGTTATGCTTTACGAGAACGGATGACAACAGGGCAACTTGCAATCCTTGCAAAGTAGATGTTTCATTTAAGGGAGGAAACACTACGAATGTGCAAAAGCATTTGCTCACTAAACACGCGATGACCTTAAATGAATGTCGTGTTTTTAATTCCGCTCCGGACTCGTGAATCTCAACCCAGCAGCAGCGGTAACGTTTGCACGTCCTCTCCCGTTAATGCGGCAGGTAAATAATCAACTAACAGTGCATATTATGTTAGCGCGATCTGCCTTATTACAAAACCTGCCATTACTGTGCGTTTAGGTGACCATGATGAGAGAGACAGAGTCTGGCTCAGATGCTGGCAGTTCTCGCTGCAGTCTACCGGTAGCGTCTCCTTTCAGGCCAGGATAGACGAATGTCACCGAGCAGTGACTAAGTTTGTGGTCAAAGGCTTGCACCCATTTGCCACAGCAGATGCCCTGATTTAAAGTGAATGTGTTTAATTGTAGGCAGGACATTACTGGATATTCTTGTGTAATTGCTACAGAATAATTTATGTTATACTTTGTTATTGCTACAGAAGAACATTTATTTTATTATTTTACATTTACAATGTTTTTTCCTGGGGACCCTGTGACACCCCATGGAAGAGCCGTAGGCTGGATCTCTTAAGATCTCACTGTTCTTTCAAATCTTCTCTATCAATACCCATCCCTACCAAGTACAGAGAAATGCAGGGCTTCAAACTAAAAGTTTCCATTTTGTCGGTGACTAGAAAAGTGTGGTTCGCTTTTACATCACAAAATGTTAGAAATATGAGCCATTCATAACAGCCTGAAAGGTTGGGAGTTTAAAATGCAAACCAATGGAAGCAGAAGTAGAAGTCTATAATGTCACAGAGCACACGGTGTCTCTTACTGTGTAGCATTGTACACAAGAACTTTAAAAATCTATAGTGTGTGAGGCTTTGTAAGTTAAGGGTGGCTCGCCCTTGTCGCCTGTGTGTAACAAACCATCTGTTAGGGGTCACGGATTTGACACCTTAGCGTTATGAAAGTGGGGAAACATACTCCTGGCTGAGATTAATGCTTACAACTTAGAATCTCAGTTCTAAATGAAATTCAAAATGTTTTTTGTAAGTATGGCTAATGTATAATATGACTTCTAAGGCACACACACACACACACACACACACACAAGAACAACAACACAGAGAAGAAGAAGAGGACGGTGTCGTTTACCACGCATCATAAAAACCCAATCATTAATCTTCCAACTGTCTCTTTCTGTTCTGACTTTAGAGTCTTTGTTTGTTTATTGAGCCGTACTTTGGGAGTCATCTGTTGTGATACTGGTGAAAAAAGGGTAAAAATCTAAAGAGCGCGTGAGACTGTTAGCTTTGTTGTCTGGCAGTAAACTTTTCTACAATGTGTTAGTAAAGAGTGACTTGTACTTCTGGCCCGTTAAGCAATGGTTTAAGAAATTTCACTGCAAACTATAAAAGGAATCTGGGTTTAAATAGAACACAGCAGTGTTGGATTAAGTGTAGGAAACACTAGTGTAAGGTGTCTATGGAACAAATCTCCTTCAACGTTCACATTGACCAAAGTTGATGACTACAGGCATTTGTCTCAGTCACCTGATTGTGTTTAGGGAAAAAAAGCTGCTAAATACACTGAGATTGCTCCACATTGTTAGTTAGTTAGCTCTGGATGTCTGAGGGTTCTGTCAAATTTGGGGTGAACAAAAAACATGTTCTCTCGTTAGCAGATGTCTGCGCTGTCACTTGTCATGAAAATGTCCAGAGTTAGGGTTCAAGCTTCCTCTTCAATCACCATTGATCATTAATTGTGACCACAATAGATTTGTCACATGATCCCCATAAACAACCTGATTTTATAGAAATCATTGTGACACAAATATTTAGTTTCTTGTTTCACAATGTGCATGAACTGAAAATCTTTAGTTTCGTGTTTATAAAGTATCGAAAAGAATACATTTATTCCAATGTATGAACTACACTTCTTGTAAAAAAAAAAAAAGAAGCTGATTGGAAATGCATTCAAAAAAAGCTCCTGCCATGATCTTCCTTCTGTGAGCGCGCACACACACACACACACACACACACACACACACACACACACACACACACACACACACACACACACACACACACACACACCCCATTAATACAAAGGATTGCTGCAGCTTTTGGATTTTCACTCTTTGTTGGAATTAATATGTACAGTTGCATAAAAGTCATTCCAGTTTTTTGCCTTTAAATCTACGATACCTTTCTTGTTCAAATGGTTTACTGACATAGTAAAGAAGTAGCCGGGGAACAAAGTAAGTATGAGCAAGAATAGTTTACGGGCACTTTATCAAATAAAGAGGATTTCACCGTCTGCAGTTTGTGGGAAAAAAAGGTGCCACATTAAAACAAATCAGTAGATCCACAAATTATGGATACAGACTGGTTTCAGCTATAGTGGTAGAGGTACACTTCATGCACTTAAAAACATACAGTTCAAAGGCATGCATTAGAGTGCATTGGT